ACGGACCTCACAGAACTATAAACAACATTCCTCCTAAGAGCTTGTTCCCAAAGGAAAGACTTAACGTCGACGTAATGTAGGTTGACGAATCTTTACAAAATTTCTCAATTTCCCTGGCTTGGGACTGGCCTTTGATGAAGCACCAGAGCAGTTCCTGTGGCAGAGGTGCTCCAGGAGCTGCACTACATTGGGATGCTCTTCTTGGGAGAGCAAAGCCCAGGGTTTATATTTTATCACAAAGCAGGATTTCAAGAGCAGGTTGGATGGAGCTCTGAGCACCCTGCTCTAGTGGGAGGTTGTCCCTGCCCATGGCAGGGGGGTTGGGATGAGATCATCTTTAAAGTCCCTTCCAACCCAACCCATCCAGTGATTCTTCTTGCTGCTGGAGCACCCCAGCCTGGTTCTGCATGTGTCTGCACCTCACTGCACCCCCTAACATGGGGCACGTGCTGTTGGAAGGCAGCAAAGAGCCATGTCCTCAGTCCCTACCCACGGGGAATATGACTCCAGGCTCCCCAACAGTGACCTGCTTTTTGCACTTACCTGGCTTCTCTCTTTCTGTTAGAGCTGAGAGTTATAACCAAAGGTTAAAACAATCTCTACAGCCCCAGGAGATGGGTTACAAAATTTGCCAGGATAACAGAAAACTCTGTTTCAGCCAGATTGCTTTCAGCTAAGCCCCCAGCACAAAATACTGAAAGGAAACTACTGTGAGGAAGCCCTTCAGAGCATTTCTGCAGGTTAGTAAAAGCATCTTCAGACTCTAACAGAAAGGACAGTGTGTAGCTGGGAGCCCTCACTCCTCACAAGCCTGCTCATTTCTGGGTGTAGGGCTGGATCCAGCTCAGGAGGAGGCAAATCCCATGGTCCTGAGTGCTTTCCCAGGAGCAGAGACAAGAGCAGGTCAGGAGGGGTTCCCAAAAACCACAGCTCCAGCTTTTTATGTGGCACTGCCTGCAGCTGAAGTCCATATGGGACCACAAGAACATCTGCTCGTGAGGGCCACTGCAGCCACTTCAGAGATGTCCAGGAAACCCTTATTACAACAAATGAGACAACATTTACTGATGAGGTTAACTGATGAAACGTAGTTTCCATATGTGAGATTACATCAGTCAAAAGCTGCCCATTTATTAAGGATTTAAAAACCAAGATAGGGTCTCCAAATCCCCATAATCTGCTCACCCATCTAGCTTGCTCTTTCAGATAAGGGAACAAAAGGACACGACACAGAGTCTGTCACAAATGTCACTGAGTTCCAGGGCTCTGTTTACCCCCACACATCTGTCCCATTTACCACTGGGACACCCACACACCATTTTGTAGCACATCCTCTTGATAGTGCCCGTGGGCTGCACACCCCAGCCAGCAGCAAAGGGGCACCAGTGGGCACCTGGGCACTCTTTGGATCTTCTTTTCTCCTGACACCTCAGGACAGGAGAGAAAAGAGGGGAGGATTGCAGAGGGCTCCTCACTTTGAAGCACCCTGAGTGTTACCTGCACCCTGCAGTGCTGCTCTGACCACGTCCCCCACCTCCCCTGGGACCTGCCCCAGCAGAGGCTTCAAGCCATCCCCAGGGGGAAGACAGTCTAGGAGATGATGTCTGTTCCCTGATTTTTTGGAAATTTCCATTTTCTTGAGCCTGTCAGGCTGGAGAGGCACAAGCTACTGCACCATATCCCTGCTGCATTACACACTGGCACCAGCAAAGGAACCTTATCTGAGCATCATAACTTCAAGCTTATCTAGATGAAGGAGCAAAACCAGCTACTGTTGGTTTGCAGCTGCAGCTTCCAGTCACCAATGCCAGCAAAAAGATGCTGCTGAAGGTGACAGGAGCACAAGAGAGCTCGCCAGGTCCTGCCTGCAGCTTCAGGTCCCCCTCCCCTGGGTGCTGCAGTGTGCCACGCTGCCGTGGGCTCCACAGGGGCTTCATGGCTAGAACATGAACATGGCTTATCACACCTGAGTCCCACTGAAATACCTATTTCATCAGTATCAGAACTCATTAATTCACTCATTAATTACATTATTCATTCACTTCCATACCGCTGATCATTCCAAATTCAGAGTCACATTGGATTAATCCAACAGTTCAGGTTTCCACTTGCTGTCTTTTTTTTCTCCAGCCTCCAGAGTTTCTTCAGAAATCTTCTTTATTCCATCTTATTCTTATTCTTATTCTTATTCCTATTCTTATTCCTATTCCTATTCTTATTCCTATTCCTTTTCTTTTAGTGTTTGTGGTCTTATTCTTATTCTTATTCTTATTCTTATTCTTATTCTTATTCTTATTCTTATTCTTATTCTTATTTCTTATTCCTATTCCTATTCCTATTCTTTTAGTGCTTGTGGTGGTTTCTTGGGGTTGGAACTAGATGATCTTTAAGGTCCCTTCCAGCCCAAACCATTCTCTGTGATTCTCTCTGCCAATACTCACAGATCAGAGAAATTCCAGACCTACAGGAATCAAAGCTGCACAGCACTGAGGTCAAGGCCTGTTGCTTATGTTGCCCTATTTTGTTCTTACATCACCCTTCAGCTTCTTAACTCTGCATTCACATCAAAAAAAAAAAAACAGCTCAAAGCATCTGAGCAATAATGAACCTGAGGCTGGAAGATGTGGCTGCAGTTTCACAGAAGCACAGAACACCAGGTTGGAAGGCACCTCAAGGATCATCTGCTCCAACCTTTCCTGGGAAAATCAAGGTCAAAGCCAGCTTAGAGAGCAAAAGTAGCACTTGGGCAGTTCTGTTATCTCAAGAAGAAAAGGAAAAAAAGAGGGGAAAGAATGAAAAGAAAAAACCCTGCATTTCCCAGTCCAATTTTGGAGCATGTCACAAGAAGATGGAATGGTCCTATAATGGTGAGGAACCAATCCTGCTCCTTTGGGAAGCAGCCACAGCCATGCTGAAAGACCAGCTCATGCTATGGATACATGCAACAAAACCACCCTAATTCTGGGGAACTGAGAATTATCTGAACACAAGCTATGGATACGTGCAACAAAACCACCCTAATTCTGGGGAACTGGGAATGATCTCCTGAACACAAGAAAAAACAAAATTTGCCAAAGAAAGAAAAATTGTACAGTTCATACAAGGTTCTGGGACAGTGCTGGAACTCAGCAGAGGTGGTTGAAAAGCCCAAAAGCAAGAGAGGGAGGAAAAGGAAAGGCCTGAGACATCAAATCAGGGAGAGGAGGCTTTGCCCAAAAAATCAGGATGAGTTTGTGGGAGACCCAAAGAAACAAGCTGTTAAACACCAAAACCACAACAGACCAAGAATGAGATTTACAAATTCAGCCTGAGGGTGACTGGTGGGTTCCAGCAGGTTCTCCACAGAGCTCCCAGCAATGCCCTGGTGCTCAGTCCACGTTCTTGCAAGGATGGTCCTTGGAGCTGTGTGATGAGAAAGCTCTACAGATAAACACACAGCATGAAAAAATCCCAACCACCCTATTCCTGTCAGAGATAACAAACTGGATATAGTGGAGTGGGCAGCCAGCAGCCTGCAGGTTAGTTTGAACCAAGCCACACAACCAGTACTGATGTCTGACTTCTCCAGTTCAAAGTATTGAGATATTGAGGTGCTGCAGCATCAGGCTACCAGGCCATGGAAAGTGGAGCCAGCAGATCTGCTCCTGCCCAGCAGAAACAGGGCTGGACCACCTGCCACTGAGGCTGCTGCCCTCAGGAACCCACCAGGAGAAAGCAATTCTAGCACTTTTGGAAAAATTACACCATTCTTTTGGGAACAGAACTGAAAAGGGCCTTTTCCAGCTTCCAGGAAAGAGGGAAACACAGTCACTGATTTGGCTAATTTGGGCAGGTAACAAGGTGAAATGTCTTCAGTGAAGTGAAGTATAATGAATGGAGTACTGTGTGCAGCTCTGGAGTCCTCAGCACAAGAAGAACATGAACCTGGAGTGGGACCAGAGGAGCCCCAGCAATGATTCAAGGGCTGGAACCCCTCTGCTGGGAGGCCAGGCTGAGAGAGTTGGGGTTGGCCAGCCTGGAGAGGAGAAGGCTCTGGGGAGACCTTCTGGGGGCCTTCCACTACTTCAAGGGGCTGTCAGAAAGCTGGGGACAGACTTTTGAGCAGGGCCTGTTGGGACAGGACAAGGGGGGATGGTTTGAAACTAAAAGAGGGGAGGTTTAGACTAGCAAGAAGGAAGAAAATTTTTGACACAGGGTGCAGAGCCCCTGGCCCAGGCTGCCCAGAGAGGTGGTCACTGCCCCATCCCTGGAACCATCCCAGGGGAGGTTGGTTTGGGCTCTGAGCACCCTGCTCTAGCTGCAGATGTCCCTGTCCCTGCAGGGGCATTGGATGAGATGACCTTTAAAGGTCTCTTCCAATGCAAACCAATCTGTGATTCTGTGAATTAAGACCTTCAGCCACAACCCTTGCAAATCTGGTGGGCTTCCCCCTTGATAACCCCAGATGGTGAGCAAGACAGTGAGGACATCTCCATCCTGGCACAATATCAAGCCCAGGTCCAGGCTGACACACTCAGGGCATCCCTGCATCCCTCCTTCCCAGGAGCCACTCTGCTGTGCCCATCCCTGGGTCCACCCTCTCACAAGAGACCTGCAGTGTGAGAAAACTTCTCCCCAAGTGTTGCACAAATGCTCTCTCATTCTCTCTTTCTGGGTAGGGATCCACATATTTTCCGTGGGGTTTTGGCTGGTGGGTTTTTTTTTTAACCTTGGGCTGGAGCCTTCTTCCTATCAGAAGATCACACATTGTTATCAGAGAGGCTCTGGTTTCAAGAGAAGTGCTGTGGAGATGGCAACTGCTTGGTCATCCTTTGTGTCATTCTGTGTTTTACTAATTTTACTGGAACCTTTCTCTTCCAGAAACTTTCAACAAATGACTTTTTTTTTTTTCTATCAGTTTCAAAAATCAACTTAAACAGTTGTTTCCTTCCTAGAGAGATCATAAAAAGGTAGAGGGCTGGTCCAGAAGCACTGACACGTTCCCTGAGCACATCAGGAGGATGAAGACCCCTCTCTACCTTCTTCTGCTGGCTGCAGGCATCTCTGCCACTTCCCAGCTGAGCAACATAGCTGAATTACTGGCATCCTTAAAGCAAATGCATCAGCTGGCAGCAGAACACATCCCAGTAAGTTCAATTTCCACTTTTCTCATCTAGAATTTGATCCCCTGAATCCTCCTGTCCATGAATATTGAACTTTTTTGAAAGTCAAACAATGTACTTATGTGATATCTTATTTTTAGTAGTCTTAATGCAGATATTTGAAAGGCTTAATTAATATATTCTTTTTCAGAATCTGAGGATGGAAACTCCAGACAATATAAATGTAAGTAACACTCCTTTTGAACTATAATTTATAAAAGAATTTTAATAAAATTCACTTTTTCATAAATTTAGTCATTGGAAATTGAGAGAGTTTTAAGATTGCTGCCTCCTAAAGTCCTCTATGTGCATTTAAGGCTAAACAGTTACTTTAAGTGTAGCAATTAGAAGATATAAAACATTGTTAAAGATAAAAAAGTTATTATAAGATACAAAATGTTATTAAAGAGAATCAAATATTGATCACAGCCCAGCTTTTCAGACAGTATCATGGCCAGATGGCTATTTGTGGGAGTATGATTGGAGTCATTAATTTATTGAAGGAGCAGAATAATTCACATTTGTTCACAAGATAGCTACAAATTGGTGGTTTGGGTTGGTTTTTTTTGCAGCAAATCCATCCCATTCCTTCTAAATTAGGTGTAAAGTTCCCAGCTCTGTTTCTTCAGTCTGGATCCTGGCTGGCAGAGCTCTCTCCCCTGGCTGAGGCTCAGGCTGGGTTTAACCCCAAGGTTTTAACCATGAAAACAGCCCCAGAAGCAGTGGTGCTGAATGCTGGCAGCTCACACTCATCCCTCTCCCTGCCAAGGTGCCACCCCAGCCGTGCCCAGCTCTTCTCCTGGCAGCAGGGCAGCTTCACTCTCACCTGTGCTTTGGACACTGAGGTGACAGAATTTCCCAGTGCCTCTGCATCTGTCGCTTGTCAAGCAGCTTCCCAAGCAAGGTCTTGAGAAAAATGATCTTCCTGAGGATGCAGGGATGACTAACAGGAGTCCAGGCAGGCAGGATGCTCCCCTTCAGCTGCTGTCTGAATTTCCTCCCATCTTTGCTGACTCGTTTTTGCCTCATTTTTCATCACTCCCTCTTCCGGTTACACTTCAATGTCTGTGCCTCTGATGGTCGTGTCCTCTCCTCCTTTCCTCCTCCATGAGTTTAGCTGATCTCTTCCATTGGCAAGAGGAACCATCATCCCTGGCCACCTTGCCCAGACCATGAGGTCTTGGAGACAAATGCCAGCTGCTTGGTGGAAGAGGACCTTGGCAGGGGACAAGGCAAAGAGGGCTGTGAGATGACAGCGTGACTGTTGCCCCCATCTCTCCTGGCATGCAGATGCCAGGGGTTAATGTTTGGAGTAGTTTCAGGCTCATTTATGCTCCTTCTCTCCTGTTCAGACAGCTCTAGCTTCCAGGGCAGAAAGCATCTCACAGGCAGATCAGGATTATCTGCTGACAGGAGCGGATGTAAGAAATCAAGCCTGTCCTCAGATGGCTGCAGGAGAGACAGGACTAAGTCTTAGGTAGTTACATGATTCATCTGGATATTCCAAAGGACATGCTGTCATCTGCCAGGTTTCCATCTGCAGGGTAAATAATGTGCACAGCAGTGGAGCATGTTTGCCTGAGTGTGCAAACCCCAAAGTCAATTTATTTGCCACCCACGCGGCTGGATATAACTCAAGATGGTTTTAAATAAACTTAGTGTAGCTGACAGCTACACATGATTGTATCTCAGCTCTGCCATTTCTCCCCCTCTTAGGATGCAAATTGTGTCAGCACGATCTTTGAAGGAACAGAGCAGCTGAAAACTAACCCAGCTATGAAAAAATTCAGTGTTTTCTTCCAAAAATTGGAAGGCCTGAAGCAATCCTTCACACCACGCCAGCCAAAAGGGGTAAGAACTTTTTCCTTGCCTACCAGAGATCATGCAGGAGAGATGTAATAAAATTTGATCCATAATTCATAACTGAATGTCTACAAGAAAGAGAATAATTTTTGTACTCACTGGTTTTAAGTAGATGGAAGAAGAAATTCCAGCATTATTTCACATTTCCCTTGTTCTAGTCTTCAGCTTGCCCCACCTCTAAAATGAGAACACATACATGTCATCAGTGTATTTAAGGTTTAAGGAAAAGCAGATCATTTACAAAATGGTTTGAAGATGCCAAAAGCTCTACAAAATGGTAACATTTTATTTAATTTCATTCTCACTGGTTTTAAGTAGATGGAAGAAGAAATTCCAGCATTATTTCACATTTCCCTTGTTCTAGTCTTCAGCTTGCCCCACCTCTAAAATGAGAACAAATACATGTGATCAGTGTATTTAAGGTTTAAGGAAAATCAGATCATTTACAAAATGAAGATGCCAAAAGCTCTACAAAATGCTAACATTTTATTAAATTTCATTTTCTTGATTAACTTTCCAGGGGCAGTGTGAGACAGAAAGAAAGACTGCAACAATATTTATAGAAAAGCTGATGACCTTCATCCGAAAAGCACTGAAAAACACAAAAGCAGAGAGTTAGAAGTTTCTAGAACTGCTGTAAATTGACACCAGTAGCAAAATGTTTCTTTGTTTTAAATGTACTCTTCACTTTTCAGTGGTACTGGATGGGTTTGTGTGTGGCATGGAAGCTCTGAAAGTACTAAAGGCAGCAGGTGACTCCTATTTCTAGGTGAAATTTCAATGCTTGATAAAAGCAATTAGGTTCATTATAGCAATATGGGCTGGGGATTTATAATGTCTCAGGTTTAAGGACAGATTTCTGCTGGGAAGTTTTGCTGGTGTCCCATAATCTCAGCAGAATGGGGTTTATCCTTGGTAACATGTCTGGAAGAGCAAGAACCTGCTGCTGCCAGAGGTGATCAGCTCAGGGAACTGGTGGGGGCTACACTGGGAACACCTCAGTGCTCCAATCCCCACCTCCAGCAATCAAGACAATGACAGGAGGAAAACTTCCCCAGCACAGAGCTGGCCTTGCCACTGCTTTGAAGCCAGATGAGGATGAACTGCAGAAGTCCTGGGCACACAATATTCCCCCTGTGAAGCTCAGCTTGAGCTCTGCTCTGCCCACATCCATCACTTACACCAAGGAGCACGAGGGTCACTTTGATTTGGTATGCTCAGCACTCTTGGCACACCCAGCACCCTTCAGAAGCACTGAGAAACACATCCTGAGATTTTCCTCTACCTGCAGCTTTTTTTGCTCTACAGATCAGTGTAAAATTTGGCAACTAAAGATTTGTAAGGATCTGGAGCTAAGCCACTGAGAGAATGAATGGTTATTCTAAAGCTAATGGTGATGATCAGAGTGCTTAGATCAGGATGAATTTATTTCTATGGTGTCAACTAAATTATATTACATTTTATAGAGATATGTATTTTGGAGAAAATATTTATTCTGTATTTTTGCTACTTTTAATAAGGTGAATAAATGTTTGTCTCTGCCTTTTTTTTTTTTCCCCCCTACAAATTTCTTCCAAGCTCTTTCCAACACTTAAGCAAATCTAGTTCTTGTGCAATCTCTGAGGGTCAAGGGAAGGAGACCCTGGAGGTGAGTGAGCAAATGCATTGCTAGAAGCTGTTTCTAATGATGCACAAAATAAAAACCAGAGAGACCACAAATGTGCACAGCTCTGTGAGGGAGCTGAGCTGGTGGGTTTGGTTTTAACTCCAAGCTGCAGTTTTTTTAGTGCTTATTCTCAGACACCTGCCAGCATCTGAAACAAGCCTCCTCCACAGGGATGTTCTGACTTAGCCTGAGCAGCTCCAAGCAATGGGGATAAACATGCTGCAAACAGAGGGAGAAACAGCTGGGGAGGTTCCTAATGTAAAATAAATACCCTTTAAATAAGAGAAGTGAGCATCTCCTCAGACCTGCCACAGAAATGACAACCCCTGCCACTCACAAACAAACATTTGCAAAGGAAATGCCTTAATTGGGAAATGTTTGGACTCTCCTCCTGGAAGCTGGAGGTCTCCACAAGTGCATGCCTAAAGCTGACCCACACCTCTGGAGCCCCTGGCTCAGCAGAACCCCACCAAGACCAAAACCCCATCACCAAGCTCTGTGGCTCTCACAGCTCAAACTGAAGCCCCCACCAAGGGGAGAGCAGGTTCCCTTGCAGGCTGAGCTCCACTCTCTGCACAACAACTCCCACCAGACCCAAGAGCAGCATTTTATCACCTGGTTTTCCCAGTTTCCCCCTTTTCCATGCTGGGCAAAGCTTGCTGGGTGCTCCAGTGCCAGGGCTGGGACGACAACAGGACATGGATTTGCATTTATTGTTTCCATTTTGGGCTGTGTTCAGCTCAGGGCATGAGCTCCCATTGCTGGGTGTCCCTGGGGAGGCTGCAGATGCTGAAAAATAATCAATAATTTAGCCTTTTTTTTCTTTTTTTTAAGGTATTTTCTTTCTTTCCCAAATTATTCCTCAGTTCTTTCAATTTGCACAACGGCAACTCGGCCTTTTCTCTGACAAGTGACCTGGGTATCCCTGAGGAGGCTGCAGGTGCTGAAAAATAATCAATAATTTAGCCTTTTTTTTCTTTTTCTTTTATTTTTAAGGTATTTTCCTTCTTTCTCAAATTATTCCTTAGTTCTTTCAATTTCCACAATGGCAACTCTGCCTTTTTTCTGGCAAGTGACCACCTAGATGACATCTGGAGGATGATTTCAGCCTCCTGAAGATGCTTTCTAGCTCTTAATGTTCTCCCCTGCCCTGCTGTATGGTTTTTCTGGATTTCTTTCACATTTTCCCAAGATTTTTTGATAGAGAAACACTTACTGACTTCAAAAAACATGTTGTCAAACAGCTTCCTGACCACCTGGAAAAACTGGGGCCCAAACAGGTGAAAGAAATATTCCTGAGACTTATATTAGGAGTGTCAGCTCCCAGAAAGCACAGTTGGTCACAGAATCTTAAATATCAAAATGGGCTTTACAGAAAACCTGAAATTGGGGGAATCTTGGGCATGTTCATCCTCTTTCAGCTCTGCAGACAGGATAAAGACACTACAAAACTCCCAGCCAAAGCAGCTTTTTCATGGAACACACCTGCAGGTCTGTGGCTTGTAGGGTGGGACTGTCCTTAACCAGAGTCCTAAATTCCCTCTTATCTGGCACCTCAGATGAGTGGAACCAGCAATTTCAGCCCTGTAAGAGCAGCTACAAACCTGGTTAGCAGCTATTATAGCTGTGGGTGACACACCCCATCCCAGAAAGCCCTTCTGTCAGGTGCCTCAAATGAATTCCCTCTGTTTCTGCTTCTCAGTCAGAGTAAAACCAGACTGTAAATGTTGCTGTGAGGGTGGCAGAGCCTGGAGCAGCTGCCCAGAGAGGTTGTGGTGGTTTCTCTGGAGAGATTCCAAACCCACCTGGCTGTGACCCTGGGCACCCTGCTGTGGGTGAGCTGCTGGAGCAGGGGGGTGGGTGAGATGATCTCCAGAGGTCCCTTCCCACCCCACCCTGCTGGGATTCCACAATTTTTATAAATAATAACAATCTTTCTGTGCCTCTCAAATCAAGTTTTCATTTCCAGCACAGACTCTCTAATTCACAAGCTGTGTCTGAGCTCAAGGCAGCAAAATTGGGCAGGTCCTGCCAGGGGCAATGCCACCTGCTGCTGCAGGTTGGTTTGGAAACAGCCTGGGATACAGCCTGACAGTAACACTGTCACTCCTTAACACCAGGACCAGGTAGATTTAAAATCACAATACTACCCTGGTGTCATCTATCTTCACCCCACTTTTCATTGATCACTGCAGGAACAGCTCTGATTGCAGCTGGGGAACACAAAAGGAAAGCTCTAGAGAAACATTCTGGCTGCCTTAGCAGTGGGGTTCCTTCAGCTCCCTGGATGACACTTGCATTTTTTTCCTATAATTAACCCAGCATAAATTAATTCTCAAAAAAAAAGAGTTTTCAATATAGGAGAAAGGAATGAGAAGCAAATTGAGAAGGGAGTTTTGGAGAGAGGTGGGTTCCTCTGGTGGCTTTCTAATCACAGGAAAAGCTTCTTGCAAAACTTACCAGTTCTGACATGGTGGAAAAAGAAGTGGATCAATTTGTAGCAGGGCACTTGTAGCCACAGTGTTCCCAAAAACCTGGTGTCATCTGTTCTGAATTCCTGGCTCTGGCATGTCCTGATACAAGGTGTCACTGTCACTGCTCCTTTTTCAGCTGCACCCCAGAGACCTTCGCTGAAGCAGAGGTGAGAATCCTGTGAAGCCAAAACAAATAGAAATAAAACATGCTTTTGTCACATCCCCACTGATTTCCACACTGATTTCCCCAATGTTTTCATGTGTTATCATCCAATGGTTATGGAATAAAAAGTTTTTCACAGTACAGCTCCATAAGAGGAGCCCAGCTGAGGGAACTGGGGTTGTTTAGTCTGGAGAAGAGGTCACTGACATGTGATTGCTCTCTACAGCTCCCTAAAAGGAGGTTGTAGTGAGGCTGGTTTGGTCTCTTCTCCCAAATTACTGACAATAGGATGAGAGGAAATGGCCTCAGGTTGTGCCAGGGGAGGTTTCAATTGGATATTAGGAAGGATTTATTCCCTGAGAGAGTGGTTGGGCACTGGAACAGGCTGCCCAGGGAGGTGGTGGAGTCACCATCCCTGGAGGGGTTCAAAAAACGAGTAGATGGAGCACTTGAGGCTGTGGTCTAGTGGTCAGGGAGATGCTGGGATGGAGGTTGGAGTTGATGGTCCTAGAGGTCCTTTCCAACCATAACGATTCTAAGATGGGGGGAGCAGACACAGTTACTGCTGAAAAGAGGATTAAGCAGTAAAAATTATAAATTACTGGTTCAGGCATCGATCTAGACGACTTTTTCCTCTGCCTGCCTGCAACGCAGGCTCCGAAGCACAGCAGGCAGAGCAGGAGAACAGCTCCAGGCTGCCGTCGGCAGGTGGCAACCAGAGACCAGAAATGCAAACCGCAGAAGCCCGGGGAGGGCAGAGCCAGGCTCTGGGCCACAGGAGGCGTTCCTGGAGAGCTCAGCTGCCTCGAAGAGCAGCCAAGGGGCAGGAGAAGGCAGCGCTGCTACAGCCTCGGCCAGCACCAGGTGGCTGCCAAGTGCCGCTGCAGAGCGGGGACACACCGCCCAGCAAGAGGAGGGAACCTCCCCAAGCAGCTCCTAATGGCACTGCCTCTTTTAATACCTCCGATTTGTTCGTATTTGTCTCCTTTTCCATATCACTTTTGATTATCCATCTATTTTCATTCTCCATCTAGTTGTGGTTATGATTATGATGAGCTGACGATGTTCAGAGATCTGACTGCCCTGGAGCTCTGCCAGCACAGGAGCCTGTTCTCACCACACTTTCACATCATTATCCATAGTCAGGTTGCCCCAGGGGAGGTTGAGGTTGGAGCTGAGGATAAATGTCTTCTGCAGAAGGGTTGTCTGCCCAGGGCAGTGGTGGAGTCCCCACCCCTGGAGGGGTTTCCAAGCTGTGGAGATGTGGGGTGAGGGACACGGGGCAGTGGGGACCTGGGTGAGCGGTTGGACTTGAT